GAGGGAGATACGTTCGGACAGATACACTGGACCGGAACCGTACAGGGTTTTGTAGGTCAAAACCAGCACCTTGAATTGTGCTCGGAACTGAACCGGCAGCCAGTGGAGCTGACACAGCAGGGGGGTGGTGTGCTCCCTGTATGTCGCTCCAGTGAACAATCTGGCTGCCGCTCGTTGGACCAGTTGAAGTTTACGAATAGTCTTCAAGGGCAACCCCATGTAGAGTGCGTTGCAGTAGTCTATTCAGGATGTAACAAGAGCGTGGACCACTGTGGTCTGTGTGACAAGTTTGGTCCTAATCTGTCTTTGGTGGGGGTCACAGTAGTCCGTGGGACGTGAAGTTATTATTTTTTTTTGTCGTGTCAGGAGCTACTTGAGAAACTGCAAGTCGCTTCTGGTGTGAGAGAATTGGCCGTCTGCAAGGACGTTGCCCAGGGGACACCCGGATGATTTGATGTTTTTATCATCCTTGTGGGAGGCTTCTCTCATGTCCCCGCATGAGGAGCTGGAGCTGATAGAGGGAGCTCATCCGCCTCTCCCCGGATTCGAACCTGCGACCTGTCGGTCTTCAGTCCTGCCGGCACAAGGGTTTAACCCACTGCGCCACCGGGGGCTCCATGTGAAGTTATTGAAAGTACTGCAGTTTCCATCATCCATGGTCCATCATCCCCCAACTACACCAGGATGTGTGGTGTATCATAGGGGGTCTGTGTGCCAAGTTTGGTCACAGTCCGTCATGTGTGGGGGTCGCAGTGCTTTGTGAACCAGTTTGGTGATGTAATTCATATTTTTCCAGTGCTCCTTTACAGTTCAGACTAAAGTCCGAAATGGATGCGGCACATCTTAGCAAGCACGGGCAAACTTCGGCCTTCCAGGTGTTTGGACTACAACTGCCACAATTCCCAAAAGCCTGTAGGCTGTTAGGAATTGTGGCAGTTGAATTCCAAAACAACTGGAGGGCCGAAGTTTGCCCATGCCTGCTTCATAGTCATGCAAGCCACCATTGTATCTCCTTTAAAGGATCTCAAATATAGGGAATGCTAAAGACAAGGCACCCCTTCGATTCCGCTCGCTCCCAATGCTGGATTCCGCTTTCACCGAAGTAATTAAGATTAATGCAGCTGATAATTGAGAAAGCGTTGGTAAATGTACCTTTTTCTGGCAGCGTCAGAGATACATATATATATATTTGTACCTTAGAAGATTTATCGGCCTACTTAGGTAACAGATAATTCCTTTCGCGAATGGCAGCGTTTAGAAGCCAAATGAGAGATAAATATTGCTTAAATAAATGTCAAAATAACTCACTCTTTATTTCAATCCCTCAAAGGATTTCAAGAAACCCTCCGAAAGAGTCCTATTAAATGCAGTTGTCTGCGGATTGTTCCTTATGTTTTAAGGGTGAATTGGTACCAAGGGGTTTTTGCCCCTCAAAAAAACCCCCATGCAATAAATTTCACACTGAGAAATAAGGACTTTTATTGGGATTTTTAGAACATTTTTGCATTTGCTTTTTAAACATTTTTATATTGTTTTGTGTTGTGATTTGAATTGTTTGCAAACTGTATTGCAGATGTTTTAAACTGTTTGAATTGTTTGCTAACTGTATTGCAGATGTTTTAAACTGTCTCTGGAAGTTGACCTGGGTCCTATCCTGAGAGAAAATGTCATCCAAATTAAATTAAAAATAAAATAAAATATTAAGCTAATAATAAAATACAGTATCAAATTTAAAATGAAATAAAATATCAAATTTAAAATGAAACAAAATATTAAATTAAAAATACAATAAAATATTAAAATAAAATAAAAATACAATACAATATTAATATTAAATTAAAAATTATATAAAACATAAAATTAAATTAAAAAATAAAAATAAAATATTAAATCTATATATATAAATTTGTTAGGGGCATCCAACGAGGAAACAAAACTCAAAAACCCCCCAACGAAACTTAACCAAAATTCCCATGCCCATAACACAACCCACAAGGTACAAACATATCTACTCAAAATGAAAAACAACACAACAACACACTCACAAAACGGCAAAACAACAAAACTCAAAATCCCCCAACGAAACTTAACCAAAATTCCCATGCCCATAACACAACCCACAAGGTACAAACATATCTACTCAAAATGAAAAACAACACAACAACACACTCACAAAACGGCAAAACACAAAACTCAAAAATCCCCCAACGAAACTTAACCAAAATTCCATGCCCATAACACAACCCACAAGGTACAAACATATCTACTCAAAATGAAAAACAACACAACAACACACTCACAAAACGGCAAAAGACTAAAACTAAAAAAACCCAACGAAACTTAACAAAATTCCCATGCCCATAACACAACCCACAAGGTACAAACATATCTACTCAAAATGAAAAACAACACAACAACACACTCACAAAACGGCAAAACAACTGAGCATGCGCATTGGCGCCCAGCCGCAAGTTCCCTGGCGCGCGCACATGCCCTTCCGGCCAACGTTCCCTCTGCGGAAACCATGCCCACTCCAAGCCCCGCCGCGCCGCTTCCCGCACACACACACACCCCTGCCGCACATACACACACAACCCCACACTCCATCACTCCCCCCGCCGCCGCACACACACACGCAACCCCACTCCCCCCGCCGCCGCACACACACACGCAACCCCACACTCCATCACTTTCCCCGCTGCCGCACGCACACACGCAACCCCACTCCCCCGCCGCCGCACACACACACGCAACCCCACGCTCCATCACTCCCCCCGCCGCCGCACGCACACACACAACCCCACTCCCCCCCCCGCCGCGCACACACACACACACAACCCCACGCTCCATCACTCCCCCCCGCCGCCGCACACACACACGCAACCCCACGCTCCATCACTCCCCCCGCCGCGGCACACACACACACAACCCCACGCTCCATCACTCCCCCCCCAATCTTACCTCCTTTTACTTCACACCACCTCCAACCCCCCCGCCCCTTCCCGCCCTGTCAAAATCCAGGAAAGAGGAAGGAAGGAAAGAAAGAAGAAAGAGAAAGGGAGGTAAAGAAAAAGGGGGAAGGAAGGAAAGTTAGAGAAAGAAGGAAGAAGAAAAGGAAAGAAAAGGAAGGATGGAAGGAAAGAAAAGAGAGACAGCAGAAGAGAAAGAAAAAGGGGGAAGGAGAAAGAGGTAGAGAAAGAAGGAGAAGGAAAGATGGAGGAAGGAGAAGAAGGGGAAAGAAGGAGAGAAAGAGGGAAGATTGGCCACAGCAACACGTGGCGGGTAAATGTTGTTATTTCTATTATTATTATTATTATGCTATTATTCCTATTAGACCCTTGGGGGAATGGGAGAGGTGTCAGGTCCCAGAGGCAATGCATTGCATTATTGTTATTGTTATGATGGTGGTAAAATAAAAGGAAATAAAGAAAGAAGGAAGCAAACAGGGAGGGAAGAAAGGCAAAGGAAGAAAGGGGGAGGGAATGAAGGAAAGAGAGAAGGATGAAACCAAGTAGTGAAAGAAAGAGGTAGAGAAGGAAGAAAGGAGAGAAAGGGGGAGGAAAAGGGGGAAGGAATAGGTAGGGACCTCTCTTTCATAATAGTCCAGATATCTACCTCAACTTTGATAAGTTTTACTATAGGCCACAGCAACGCGTGGCAGGGCACAGCTAGTGTTGAGTAAAGGTAAAGGTTGTCCCCTGACATTAAGTCCAGTCATGTCTGACTCTTGGGTGTGGTGCTCATCTCCATTTCTAAGCCGAAGAGCCAGTGTTGTCCATAGACACCTCCAAGGTCATGTGGCCTGCATGACTGCATGGAGCACTGTTACCTTCCTGCTGGTAACCTATTCATCTACTCACATTTGCATGTTTTCGAACTGCTAGGTTGGCAGAAGCTAGAGCTGACAGCGGAAGCTCACGCCACTCCCCGGAATCGAACCTGCGACCTTTCAGTCAACAAGCTCAGCAGCTCAGCGCTTTAACCCACTGCGCCACCGGGGACTCCCGTCAAATAAGATAAAATGTTAAATTAAAAATGAAACAAAATATTAAAATTTGAAAAATATTAAATTAAAAATATAATGCAATATTAATATTAAATTAAAATAATATAAAATATAAAATGAAATAAAATACTAAATGTAAAATAAGATAAAATATTAAATTAAAAAGAAACAAAATATTAAATTAAAAATAAAATTAGAAATAATATACAATATTAATATTAAATTTAAAATAAAATGCAATATTAAAATAAGAATAAAATAAAGTATTAAATGTAAAATAAAATATTAAAGTAAAAAATTAAATAAAAATGAAACAAAATATCAGATTAAACATAAAATGAAAGATTACATTAAAAATAAAATGAAATATAGTGGAATGAGATGCTCAAGTCTGATGGCCATCCAAACCAACTCTCAAAATTATATGCAATGACAAAATATGACACGGTTTGTTTTGGGGGGATTTTTGAGGAACTATTTGCATGCCTCAGGTGGTGAATCCATGGTTGCAAAATCTGTAGGTTGCAAAATCAAATGACTATTTTGGGATCTGGTGTATCTTCCCAAAGAAGAAGGGGTTCAGAAAGCATTGGGGTTTAGAGAGGCATGGCCAAACTTTCGCCCTCCAGGTGTTTTGGATTTCAACTCCCACAATTCCTAACACCTGGAGGGTCCAAGTTGGTTCGTGCCTGCCTTGGATATTATTCTCTATGATAGGAGGGACTCAATGAGATGCAGATTCCATGGATACAGAAGCCTGATTGCCAAATAACATGGGTTTGGAACGCGATGGGCTTCTTTTAAGGAGTGTCCCGTCTCCATGGAAAGCCCCAGAGATGCCAACTGGGATGCCAAGGAGCTGCTGTCCATTGGCATCTTGGCCTTCCCCGTCCCGCACGTCCGGCACTGAAAGGAGAAGCGTGCTTTTCATGCCCCAGTTTCACTCCCGAATCCAAAGCAAACACACATTCCTGACATATTTTTTCCTTTGCAGCCAAGAAATCCATCTTTCGTGGAGGGTTAAGCTGGGACCCAGCTGGAGCTGAGTGACGGAAGCTTTCCAAGGTGAGTCCAAATTGTGAGGATTTCTTTCTGGTTCTGGGTTCGGATGCCTGTCTCATGCCCAAATCCTCCTTTTGGAGCCTTGCATGTCCCTGCTTGCATCCACACTGCGGAATTAATGTGGTTTGGAACTACTTTAGCTGTTATGGCTCAATGCTATGGCATCATAGAGAATGGTAGTTTTACAGAGTCTTTAGCCTTGACATCATAGAGAATGGTAGTTTTACAGAGTCTTTAACCTTTAGCTAACACCAAACTATGAGTCCCAGGGTTCCATAGCATTGAGGCATGCCGTGAAGGCTCAAGACCTTGGAAAATTACAGCTCCCAGGATTCTAATGCATTGATCTGTAGCCGTTCAAGTGGATTCAAACTGCATTCATTTGATGGTGTAGATGCGTCCAGTGAAGGCTGAAGACCTTGCAAAACTACAACTCCCAGGATGCCATAGCAGTTCAGGTGGTGTCAAACTTCATTCATTCCACAGTGTAGATGTTTGCAATGAAGGCCCAAGACCTTGGAAAACCACAACTCCCAGGATTCTATAGCATTAAGCCACAGCAGTTCAAGTGGTGTCAAACTGCACTCATTCCACAGTGTAGATGCACCCAGAGAAGGTTCAAAACCTTGGAAAACTATAACTCCCAGGATTCCATACCATTGCTTCGTGGCATTTCAAATGGAGTCAAACTGCATTCATTTCACAGTGTAGATGCAACCAAAGAAGGTTCAAGATATTAAAACTTGTGCGCCAGTTGCGCCCGTACCTTAGAAAGTCTGATCTGGCCACAGTGATCCATGCTCTTGTTACATCCCGAATAGATTACTGCAACGCACTCTACGTGGGGTTGCCTTTGAAGACTGTTCGGAAACTTTAATTAGTCCAGCGGGCGGCAGCCAGATTACTCACCGGAGCGTCATACAGGGAGCATACCACCCCTCTGTTATGTCAGCTCCACTGGCTGCTAATCCAGTTCCGAGCACAATTCAAAGTGCTGGTCTTGACCTACAAAACCCTATACGGTTCTGGCCCAGCGTATCTGTCTGAACGGATCTCCCTCTACGTCCTGCCTCGGAGTTTAAGATCTTCTGGGGAGGCCCTGCTCTCGGCCCCACCTCTATCACAAGTGAGGTTGGTGAGGACGAGGAGCAGGGCCTTCTCGGTGGTGGCCCCTCACCTGTGGAATTCACTCCCCAGGAAAATTAGGTCATCAACATCCCTCCTCTCTTTTAGAAGGAAATTAAAAACATGGATATGGGACCAGGCTTTTGGGTAATCTGGCAGATAGACAAAGGACAAGAGACGACTAGAATGGATGGATTTGAAAATGTGGAATGAATTTACGGACTCTGAGATGGCAAACGTTGAGCTCTAGATTGCTTTTTATTGATTATAATGTATAATGGATTGTTTTAATTGTTTTAATTACTGTTTATATATGTTTTATTTTTATCTTATTGTTTGTGTCGGCATCGAATTGTGCCTTTTGTAAGCCGCCCTGAGTCCCCCCTCGGGGGTTGAGAAGGGCGAGGTAGAAGTGCGAGAAATAAAATAAATAATAAATATTGTAAAACTATAACTCCCACAATTCCATGGCATTGATCCATGGCTGCTTTCCGGCACTGTTGTATCTGGGTCGCTGCAAATGCAAAGCTTGCAAGTTCTTCAGGTCTCCCTTTCTGCCTTTCAAGAAAGGCTTCCTCCAGAATGGCTCCTTTATGCGCCCGTTGTTTCCTTCTTGGCCAGAAGCCTTGACAAACGCGAGCGGCAGTCCATCCATCCATCAGCGGCGCACAAGTGACGCATTGTTTCCCGATTCTGGCGGTTTGCGTGTGCCAGGAAGGCGCTGCTGCCGTGTGTCAACTGGGGAAACGTGGGAGGAAGAGAAGTTGATGGGGTCTCTCTCTTTCTCTCACTGTATCAAGCTGGAATTTCATTCCGCCGGCCAAATGCAAAACCACAGAGGAATCCCAGACTGTCAAGGCCAGGTTGGCCGGCAGCAATCCGGTGATGGGGTGGAGTGGCTGACAGAATGGGCCCATCAAAGCAGCAGGCGGCCGGTGACCTCGGGTGACCCGTGTTGCAATATCAGAGCCCCAAACGGCCTCCGTCTGTCTGGCCAGATCAGCATCTTTCCAACTTTTTCCTCTTTTTGCATGACCCTTGGGCAATAGGTCTGTAAAATAGGTACATGCAAAAGGGAGCATTTGCTGATATCATAATAAATCACAAAGGGATTTATTTCGAAACAGTTATTTGCCAGAGAGATGGTTTGACCATTTATTAAAGATGAAAAACAGTCTGCGGTACTAATGAGATGGGTGCACTTGTTTATTTTTGCAGAAATAAACAAGCTGTATCAAATAGCCAAGAAATAAATCTTGGTTATTTGATACAGCTGACAAAATAGAGCATCTGTCATGTTTTTCATGTCATGCTGGTTATGCTTGGTTTGCAAGCTCAAGGTCATCCAGTCCGACCCTATTTCTGCCAAACAGGAATACACAAACAAAGCCCTCCCAACAGATGGCCACCCAGCTTCTTAATCATAGTTGGAAGGGATCCCAAAGGCCATCCAGTCTGACCCCATTTCTGCCTTGCAGAAATACCCAGTTCAAGCCCTCCCGACAGATGTCCACCCAGCCTCTGAATCATAGGGTTGGAAGGGACCCCAAAGGCCATCCAGTCCGACCTGATTTCTGCCTTGCAGGAATACCCAGTCCAAGCTCTCCCAACAGATGTCCACTTAGCCTATGAATCATAGGGTTAGAAGAGACCCCAAAGGCCATCCAGTCCAACCCCATTTCTGCCATGCAGGAATACCCAGCCAAAGCCCTCCGGCAGATGTCCACTCAGTCTCTGAATCATAGGGTTGGAAGGGACCCCAAAGGCCATCCAGTCCAACCCCATTTCTGCCTTGCCCAGTTCAAGCCCTCCCGACAGATTTCCACCCAGCCTCTGAATCATAGGACTGGAAGGGACCCCAAAGGCCATCCATTCCAACCACATTTCTGCCATGCAGGAATACCCAGCCAAAGTCCTCCTGGCAGATGTCCACCCAGCCTCTGAATCAGGGTTGGAAAGGACCCCAAAGGCTATCTAGTCCAACCCCATTTTTGCCATGCAGTAATATACCCAGTCCAAACCCTCCCGACAGATGTCCACCCAGCCCCTGAATCATAAGATTGGAAGGCACCCCAAAGGCCATCAAGTCCAACCCCATTTCTACCTTGCAGAAATTCCCAGCCAAAACCCTCCAGACAGATGTCCACCCAGCCTCTGATTCATGGAATTAGAAGGGATCACAAAGGTCATCTAGTCCAACCCCATTTCTCTGCTGTGAGTTTGAACATACAGAAACCAAGATGTTCTGCACTCCTACACTAAGTGACACGGGGTTACATAAGGTGACTCAGGTCCCATCTACATAGCCATCGAGTGTGGTTTAACTGCATAAAACTGCAACATATGGTGCAGTTCGGTGAAGTTAAACTGTGTTTGATGGCCGTGTAGATCCAGTCTCAGTCCAAAGGCCAACTGCCTGCTTGAGATGTGGTGCACAGTCTCCTTTAATGGAGCGGATTACATGTATTTCAGTTACAAAAAGGAAGAGAAAAAATAAATGGAAAAAGAAAGGGAGGGAGAATATCCACTTTGCTGAAAATCCGCCTTGAAATACCAGATCTAAGCTGAGATTGGGGTGATAAGAGGATGAATGGCCACCAGGAAGCAGTGGACTTTGCACCAGAATCAAAAGGTTTCATGCAAACTGAGCTTAGACAGAAAACCATATCTGTATGTGTGTGTGTGTGTGTGTGTGTAATATATATATGTATGTATGTATGTATGTATGTATGTATGGTATATACATACACATACATATATACAAATGTATACACACACATACTCAACGTTGCTCTCTGGCTGTAGGTTAAACTACAACTCCCACTATTGTGAGTTAGTCCCCTCAAATCCCTCCAGTAGGTTGAGTTAGTCATGGGGGTTCTGTGTGCCAAGTTTGGTCTAGGTCCATCACCAGTGGAGGTCACAGTTTCTCTGGTTGATGGTGAACTACAACTCCCAGAAATGAAAGTCACCCCCCCCCCCCAACCCCTCCAGTAATCAAATTTCAGCATGTCAGGTATCTGTGCCAAGTTTGGTCCCAATCCATCATTGTTTGGGTTCACAATGCTCTCTGGATATAGGTGTACTACAACTCCCCCAAAATCAAGGTGAATTTTCCCCAAAGACCTCCAGTATGTTTTGTTGGTCATAAGGGCTCTGTATGCCAAGTTAGTTCCAGGTCCATCTTTGGTGGAGTTCAGAGTGCTCCTAGATTGGAGGTGGACTATACATCCCATACCTACATCTCCTATAAATCATTGTGAATTTTCCCCAAACCCCTCCAGTATGCTCAGTTGCTGATCTGTTTGCTGTGTGCCATAGAAAAGAGTAGGAAGGGTTAAGGCAGTGGGCGTGGTCATGCAAATTCCACACCGATAGAGAGAGTAAGGAACACTGGGATGTCTGTGGTGGAGGAAACACATGAAATCTAGGATGGAAATATCCCCTTTTGAAAGCCTTCACTTGGGTGGTGGACAGTTTGATGTTGGTGGAGGACATTGGCAGGGCTCTTGGACATGTTCATAGCGCTCACTATAACCTGTAATGTCATTGGAGGGAGGACCTTTGGTGTCCGCTGAGTAGTGGGAGTTAAAGCTACTTGTACAAGTGGGAGCCTGTCTGTGTAAGTGGATACCCCAGTTACAGACATACATATATTTTCATTTTATTGTGTGTGTGTGTATGTATGTATGTGTATGTGTGTGTGTATACACATATACATATACATACATACACACATGCACACACATACACTAGCCATCTCCTGCCATGTGTTGCTGTGGCCCAGTCTGTGTATATGTGTATATATGTGTGTTTGTGTGTGTGTATATATGTGTGTGTGTATGTATACGTGTGTATATATTTGTGTATTTCTGTGT